TATCATTTTATGATAAAAACTAATATTTATAGGTAAATAGTATTTATAAAAAGAAAAGGTATATAGGTTTTTATTATACATCCTCAGTGGGGTAAGATTGCTCCAAGTATTGGAAATTGGTTCTTGGAGGGACCAATGTTAGATATTACAATGATTTGTGGCCCTCCAAAGGGTTACGAGACATACACAGACATGTATCTGTGGTATTAAAATTTCCTGGGAAGAGGGTATTTATGAATAAAATGTGTCCAGAAAGTCTCCTTAGGGGCAATAGTGAAAAAAATGTTGAGAAACACTGATATATATGTACCTGTACAGATATCTGTATATGTGTATATACATGCACCTTTGTGTTCACTATTTTTTTTTTTTATCAAGAACAGGACATGTGATAATTTATTTTATCTCTTGCAGTTTTCATTTAACATACTATATCCCATGTCAGTTGGGGTAACACAAGCAAATGCTTGCAGGGGTCAGGTGGGTAGCATAAACACGAAGAACAGGGACTGGGGAAGAGTGTAGACCGGGGTGAAATCGAGAGCCCGTGCTCCTGCACGAGAGGCGGCAGTACTCAGCTTTAGGTGATGGTTGCCATGTGGGAATTTGGGCCCAGTGTCATCATGTTCTCTAATTTCACAAGCAATACTGGAAATCTGTATTTTAAATATTGGCTATAAATTCCTCATAAGGGTCAACGTTATATGGGTCCCACAGAATATGGCTGCACTAAGAAAACTTGTAGGCCTCTTTTCAGACCTCGGGTAGAATTCCAACCCAGGTTTTCTCAAGAAAGAGTCAGAGATTAACTACAGCAAAATTCCCTGTAACAGAATTTCCATGTGATGTGCTCTCTGGGTCCTAACTCAATGGATCTATCCAGCAACCTGAATTTTTAACAAGGAGTTTCTTATGTAATCTCAAGTTTGCAAACTAAGGACAGCCTACTTTTTAATAGCTGCATTACCATAATTAAATTCCAAAGTATAAGCCATCAGATATTGTTAAAACCATTCCTTAATATTAGTGAGTATCATAGTTGTTTTCAAAATTTTCTCTCTATAAATAGTACTTACTTAATTAATGTCCTGATGCACACTGCTTTTATTTTTATAGGATAGATTTCCCAAATCAGGATTATTAGGTCTAATTTTAGATATTGTACATTGTAGGGTCTATTAGATATTGTATACTTACTTAAAAAGGTTGCAGAAAGTCCCAGTCTAACTAACCAGCAGAATAACAAGTATGTAAGTGCTGGGCATTAAAAGATGTTTTTTCAACTTGATAGGATTAAAATGTCATTTTTTTTTTTAATGTGTACTGTCTTGACTTCTAGTGCTGTTCAGAATTTTTTTCATGACCTGTTTACATTTCCTCTACTTGGGGAGTGTGTGCATGTTCCTCAGCTGACAATGGCAGGATTGAGAGTAGAAGCGGACACCTACACTGTGTCAGTTTCCTTGTTACCAGGACCTTGGTCCTAAGCTCTACCTTCTCAAATCCCTGCTTCACTTTTCTTCAGGGAACCCATTAAAACCATGAATTACTTTTTTACCATTCTGGCTGGACCCTAAGTTTTCCTTTGGAAATATATTGACCTATCATTTCCTTTGCTCATTGGCCATTTAATAGTCTACCTTTTCCTTATCTATTTGATGCATTCAATGTTAATTAGGCCATAAACAATTTGCTTTATATAACATTTAAAAAAAATGGATTATGAAAGTTACTATTTTACTTAATAATTAATCCAATTTGAACAAATTTTATTAAATTTTAATCATATTAACCATTTAAAACAAGCAATGCTATTTTTAGTTATTTCCCTTTTTGCTGCTTTTAGAAATATGCTTTATTTAATAGCATGCATTTTCAATATAATGCTATAATAAATTAACTGCAAAAGAAGCCACTAATGAACATTATCTTACTTTATTAAATAACAGCAAAGGAACTATAAAGATTTAAATAGCTTTACGTGCAATTTAAAAACTTTCCAAACTCAGAAATGGATTTTTTTTTGGGGGGGGGGGTGGCATTCTCTCAAGAGCTCTTATTTCAAAGCCCAAATGGGATTTCAAAATACAAGTAAATAAATGTCAAAGCCTTTTGGCCTCTGCTCTGCCATTCTATGCCTGAAATCCTGCCAAAATGAAATTTTCCATTCAAGAAGGACTGGCATTTACTAAGCTGATTTTTTAAAGACTCACTTTCAATAGTGGTGGAAACTTTGTGAAACTTTTGACATCCCTCTGTGTGGATAGAGGGACCTTCTCTGTAGACATTTTTCACAATGTCAACATTTTCTAAAAAAAATAATTTTCAGCCTATGCAATGTCTTCAGCCACTAGGTTACTGGTTTTTCTCAGTGCAAGCATAGAAGATAAACAGCAGCCAAACTACCAGCCAGTGTCTCATTAAGTGTCAGGCCACAAAAAGGACAGAGAAAAGACAGAAGGTGGGGGAGAGGGAGGGGCTTGATCCAAGAGTTCCCTTGCTAGAGGGGTACCTTTATCTCAAAATTTAATGTTATTTTAACACAACTGCGCTGTAGAAACTGGCTGTCTGCTTACTCATATAACATCATTGTTACTGTTAAGATCAAATGGTTAAAGGCTGAGTTCATTTAAACTTAAAGGATCCCCTTCCGGGGAATGCGGAGCCCCTGCAATAGGCAGTAAAATCAGAGGAGTAGTGGGCCTCTGCTGTTTGGCCAGTCCACCGCTGGCGGGGAGGAGTGCTCTAAGGGAACTCTGTGTGAGTGTGGATTTGGGAAATGAAAACTAAAACCGTCAGCCAGTGAACCTGCACTATTACTAAAAGAAACTTTGAAAAGTTAACAAGGACCTGTGGGATGAATCAAAGGTAGAAATGTAAATTACAGAATGTTAAGTGGGAAAAAATAGAATCTACAATGGAACTGTTTGCACTTCCAAAAGCAATGACGTGAAGCACGAAGCAAAAGTTACTCGTTTGTTCTTAAGGGTTTTCCCCTACTCTCCTTAATTCTCTTCCGTTCTTCTCTTGCAGCTTTTCTCATATGCAGTGTACCCTGGAATTATCCCCTTGAGAGCCTTTCTTTAATTTCTAGGCCCCCCCCCCACCCCGCCCCACAAATTGTTGCTCCCAGACCCAAGGCTCCTTTTTCTCATCTTCTAGCATTCTGGGACAGGACACAGAGAAGGCTGCAAGGCAAGAAAAAGTTTTGTGGTTTGGGAAACTTGGGCCTTTTTTGTCATTTCCCCTGCCCCGCCACGCCCCCAGACACGTGACCAAGAGAGGCCGGAATTTTGTGAATGGAGCTGGAAGGTGGCAGCAGGGGCAGAAGAGGCTCCGCCCCTTTCCCTAAAGCCGCCAATCTCCTAGCGGAGCGCTGCAGGGTCAGCAATAAACAACAATGGGCTGGGGAAATACGGTATGTTATTGGCTGCGGACTAGAACCTCATGGGTGGGGGAAGTGGGGGCGGAGTGGGGGGCGGCTAAACTGTAGCTCCTCCTCATCCCGGTTACCCTGGATACCTGTCAGGCTCTAGCCCCTGAGAAGGTCTTTGGAAACTGTTGCTCAGATTACAGGGGCTGAGTTATCCCCGGAGTGCTGGTCGGCGGGACACCCTTGCTATTGGCTCTCCGCCTGACTGCACCCTCAGAAAGTACCCGAAAGCCTCACTACCCCAGCCTCGAGGCCCCGGCTGCGCCCGGAAACCCTCCCTGGCTGAGGTTAAAGTGCAGTTCCCGCTCAAAGTGCTTGTAGGTGCGCCTTGGCACCGGCTACTCTGATTTACTAGTTTCAGGGAATGCACGGTGTATGCCCTTGTTCCCCGTGATTATTGGGCGTTTCTCCAGTAATAAGTTTTTCTAGAATTTATGTAAAACTTTTTTTTTTACATAGATCTTTCTTCTTCTGGTTCCTGCGGAGTCTTGCTCATACTCCATTTTAATGTGTCTCCATACCCTTCCATTTCAGGAAGGAAAGTTTCAAATAGAAATTGAGAATTGAAGCTTGTTTCCCAATGGGCAGAACAGCTGCCGGAAACATCTTTTGGTCTGTAGCCATCGTCGTTACCGGGATCAAAAGTGAATCTCAGCACTATTGAGTTCCTGGTCCCATCCCCGCGGCCTCCCCTGCCCTGTTGGGCTGCGGCTTCTTAAGTTCTACAGCTCCAAGCCCCACAGGAGGGTGAGGGCAAGTGGTTTCAGAGTTGCAGCCCTCACTTTTTAACGTCCCAGTCATTGTCCTTGAAACCCGAGCCCCCTCACCGCTCGCTCCCCAACTCCGGGTAGTGGCTGCGTAAAAGCAGAAGAGGAAGTGAAAGCATAAAGTACAGTAAGTGACACCCTCCATCTCCGTGTATACATAACAAAAGCTCAGGAAATGTGCGGGTCCTTAGGATATCTGAGCCACCTCATCCCCTCCCTGCTCCGCCCCACCTCCGCGGAGAGATGGAAGCACCTTATCCCAGTGCACACCTGGGGGAAATTTGATTTTTATACTTTTATTTACCTAGATCGCGCCATAGTCCTCCTAGTGCTCCCTCCCAACACAATCCTTCCTAACATGCAACTCCTCCTTTGCCCCCGGTGCTTTCCCACGGATTCTTTATTTTACTGTCCCATGAATGATTTGGATCTTGTATTACTTGAGGAAAGCCATTAAAAACTGTTTTGATAAACCATAATGAATGATGGTTGGTGTGTGTTAAAAAAAAAAAGAAGAAGACGGCAACAAAACTTGGGCCAAAAACTTAATGGAAGCGAAGCTATGAAGCTTTAGGTGGGCTCCTTATCAGGTTAAAAGTGAGAGGTGGGGGTGGGGAGAGGTTGGAGTTCTTGAGGGAGGGGAGGAGGCAGGGGAATGAGGAGGCACGGGCTTAGTAGATCGCCCTTCAGAGTATCTACCTGAACCGAACAAAAGTGCTTTAGGAAATCAGCCCAAGAATGGACCAAAGACACCAATAAGGAGAACCGGCGACTCGGTAAACATGGATGGATTCAGTGTCCCTGGGCACTTTAACAATAAGCAGCGGATTAGGAAGGCAGTCCGTTTCCTCCGTGGCATTTCCAAGCTTTGGACCCTGCGCCAACCCGCCGAGCACCAGCCTTGGGAAGAGGGGCGCGGGAGATCCTGGAGAAGGGGCAGCAAGCTGCCTGATTGACAGCCCGAAATCTGATCTTGTGAAAGAGACGCGGAGCCAATGGGAGGCAGCGATCCATCAGTTTGGATTGGAGGCCCCTGGAGGAGAAGTAGAGGAAAAACCACCGAATTGAGCTCTGTCAGAGGCGCTTTCGGCTTCCAAGGGGGAAGTGCTGGGCAATAATTAATGTTTTTATTAAATTTGGAGGGAATTTTTTGCAGCAGTTCGCCTAGCGTGGCCTTCAGGTGGGTCTTTCCAACAACTTTTTGTGTCTCTCCAGATAATTGCATGGTTGTGGGTGCAAAAACTATCCTTATGAAAGAGGTGTCTCCGTCTCTAGTCCCGTTAGGTGCAAAGCAAGTCTCGTTGATCGCCATTGCTAGTTTTGCACACGTTTGCGAATCAGAGCTGCCCGGGATACACCGACCTCGCAGGGAAACATCGAGAGTGTAAATAAATACATAGCCTTTAGTTCGGATTTTTGCTACTGCCGAAAATATGTAAATTGTGAACTCTCTGGGCTTTCTTTGGATCCAGGTGAAGGAGGCGGTGTAGGGAGGGTTATTTTTGTGAATGGGACAGTCGGTGGGTAATTAGCTATGCAAATTAAAGAGCTTCATTCATGATTTTTTTAAGCCTAAAAGCCATCTTGTTCCCCTCTAGGTTGATAGAGGTCCAGATCCCGAGGAAATCTCCAGCTAAATGCTCAAAATATAAAACACTGAGCTGAGATTTGCGAAGAGCAGCAGAATGGATGGATTTTATGACCAGCAAGTGCCTTACATGGTCACCAATGTGAGTGATCAGTTCGAGAGTTGCTGTTTATAAACTTGACTTGGGGGGGGGGGATAAGGGAGGAGGTAAGGGGGCTGGGATTGCAGATACTTTATCTGCTTTGTTGCCACTGTAGGGCGACTCTGCTTCTAGAAGCCCAGTCTTCAAAATGAGCTTACCTTTCAGTGATTTGGATAAGGCACAGTTTGTTTTTAAGACCCCTTTTTTTCTGATTAAAGGGCCCAAGATGAGTGGAAGAGGAGATGGAGGGCAGCAGCAGCTGCTGCACTCAAAGTTTTTGGCTGGGTTTGTCTGCCACATTGAAAAGAATGAAGTTGAGACAAATGCTGACACTTTTTGTTTACATGGGGTGTTTTTGTTTCTTTTCCCCCCTCATTTTCTCTTATGTGTTCCATTTTACCACTCTTACCTGCTTTTTTATTTTTTCGAGTGGGGAGTATAAGAATAAAATTCATTGTGTTTTCAGCTAGCTGTGATCCAGCCTAAAATCGACTTTAAGTGTAATTGCTTAATGTTGTTTTGATGCTGAGATACCATGAATATATGACTAATAAATAGTATGCTAGGATCGGCGCTGGGAAGCAACACTTCCTGGCTGTTGAATTCTCAGCATAAGCTTTCACTGTGAAATGAATGCAGAAAGTGAATATTAGAATTGATCCTATGGACTTGAATTTTTCTATTTAGAGAGAGGATCCTGTAGATGTATGTATGCATGTATTTTTTTGTGTGTGACTTTTGAGGTTTACATTCTTTTAAAGGATTTTATCTTTCCCTTTGTAGAATCAGCGTGGGAGAAATTGTAACGAGAGACCAACAAATGTCAGGAAAAGAAAATTCATTAACAGAGATCTGGCTCATGATTCAGAAGGTGAGGTTTGATTTTGGGCTGAATTCCCCTCTTTATCTATATTCCCCACTCTCATAAAGAACAGGAGAACTTCAGTCTTAGCTTAAAAATAATAAACATTCAAATTACTGTATTTAACTAAGACTTTTACTTGGAACAATTAACATAATGTGACAGTTTGCACTGGAGGATATTTTATGGCTCTGTCACAAACTAGTGAAAGAAGGAAGTAAAAAGTTAACAGTGACATCCTTCTTTTATGTTTAATACCCTTGTCCATATGGCATATAGCTAATCCCATACACTAAGGTAATAATTTTAAAATATCCAACACAGTGGGACAAATTAAGCAACTATGTATACTGCTAAAACAATGTAAATGATTATTTAATTTCTCATCCCCTTTACACAAAAACCATATACAGTTATCAAACTTTTCATGGATGATTTTGATGACTCCATGGTGAGGCCATAATATTGTTTTAGAGGTCTTAAAGTGTTCATTGAATTATAATTAAGGCCTAATTCATAATTCTAATACTTATTTGGAAAATTAGGTTACAGATTATTTTTATGAACTGTTGGTAGGAAGTCAATACATTATAAGTTATTCCAGCCATATGGAAGCATTAATAATAAACTTAAGATACTTAGATTTAATTATCAAAGTTCAGTTGGCCATATAGATGAGGTATATTAAATTCCAAAACTTCCTCAGATCCTCATAATTATAGAACACTTCTCTCCCTACCCTCTATGACAGAATACAAATATTTGGACTTCATAACAAACAGGTGCCAAGGAATTATCTATCTTTGATTTTTATAAACCTATTCATGTAGAAACTTTCCTCTAAACTCTTGTATTTAAAAGTTTTATCTTTGTGGCATTGAACCTGAAAATATGTATTACTTTGAGAATTATACCATTTGTTGTTATATCTTTTATATGAAATTTAGGAGATATAAATAAAGTATTTTTTCTGTCCTTCTAATCTTTTTCCTACTACTTTACAAGAGTTGAACATGTTTAGGAAAGGTTTCTGTGGACCTAGCTTTACCTAAGCCTTTTTTGAATACTAGAGCATGTGTGTTATTTTGTGTCCCCGACCTTATTTTTTAAGCTATTTGTTTAAAAAGAAGGGGAAAGAGACATGATTTTATTATTTAGTTTACTGAAAGGATTTCTTAAAGAAGTATTGCTTAATAACCATCAAAATGAACAAGATTGTTGAAATATATGTTATGAACTCTGCTCTTTTTATATTGAGTGCCTCCCCAAATAAAATTGATATATGACAAATCTTACGACAAACATTTCCACTTAATGAAACCTAAAGGTTTGCAAATGTTTTCTTTATGTCTTTGACTTGTTTTTTAGAACTCTTTCAAGATCTAAGTCAATTACAGGAAACGTGGCTTGCAGAAGGTAAGGCAAAACAGAAAAAAGCTTTAAAAGGTGGGGGGGAAGCAACTCTAGAAGGGGGAGGAAAAGTCCTGAACTTGCTGTCTTAATGTTCAGCCCAATTAATTGAGCTCTAAAAGAGCCACCTCATGTGTCATGCATACATTAGAGCCTCTGATGAGTTTGTCTTTGGGGAATCTGGGGCTGCACTACCCAGTGTCATCACAAATTACCAGGAGAAATTGCTTCCAGCTCACAATCACATCTGCTTTTGGCAAGAACTAATGCACCAAGACTTCAAGTTCTAAGCCTCTGTTCAGATTTTAATTGCAATTGATCAGGTTTATATTATTGTACCTCGAGAGACCTCCTAGAGCCAGAACTCGGCTAGCTGTTTCCTTTAGAGCAGCGCATATCATTATTTGGTGTTCTGGTGGAGGACTTTTCTGATGGCAGAAATTAGTTTCTCTGGGTTCATCAGGACGGGATGCTTCAAGATTTAAGTGCAAGTGTCTTCTTTCCACCTTGTTCACAACACAGAACGATAGGTGTGTATCCATTACTTAGGAAATCTATGGCTTTAAAATAAATATTTGGGGGCTTTGAGGAATTTTTAAATGTTTTCTATTTGTTACTGTCATGTGATGTTTGTTGAAATTGACTTTTGCTATGATGTTACTTTTATTAGGATTGAGTTAATATAGCAAGGAGACATTTAAAGCCATTCCTTTTATTTTTGATTGCTTTTTTGTAAAAATTTGTGTTGCAATTCTTTGCACCTTTTATTGTGTAAACTTTATTTTATAGGAACAATGAAATACTGCTTCAGTAGATCTTTCTACAACTTGAGAAATGTCTAATGTTGGGGGACTTTTGTTGGTGTTCACAATTTAATTTTTTTCTTTTGGACTTGTCCTAATAATGTGAAATATTTATTTTATCCTATGATGTGTTTGGTGGAAAACAAAGAAAATTATAGATACTTAAGCATTAAGTACAATGGTCTTTTTTCTGCCTTTACGTTATATGGGAAACATGCAGTTTTTGGAACATATTTTTAAGACGGTTAAAAGAAGAGAGAGGTTCTCTTTAAATGGAAGCCAAGTGTTGCTGTATAATTTGGGGCTGGCTGCTGTGTTTTATCAGTGGTCTTGCTTGCAGTTGATCAAGTTGCTGTTAGCATGTAAAATAAGTTTCTTTGTTTTGCTGATATTCTAGTTCTCCAAAGAGCTTTTGCAATCTTTTTTCAAATCTTTTAAGTAAATTGGCTTTCATAGTAGCCCTTCCAAAAGGGTGATTGTGTTTGTATGTTAATGAAAGGTAAGTATTAATAAAAATTTCAGTTATATTTAAAGGTCATTTTGCTTGTCTCTGTTAATGAAACTTATTGCAGTAGATTACTTATTATTGCAACATAAGCCATATATTTCAACGTAACTTTTTCAAGAAAAAAATTGCACAGAGGTTCTTGCATTAACTTTTTTCTGTTTGCAAAGTTGAAGGTTGTGAGACCATTACCTGTATGAGGGAATTTATTTGCTTATCCAAAATAACTTAAAATATCCATTTTAATTGTTCTGGAAGGTTGGTTTGTTGTTTAAGATGCTTAAGTCTAATTGATTCCAAGTCAGTGCACTTGCTGGCAGATTTTGAATGTGCATAGCAACTCTGTTCCTGGAATTTTAAAATGTGGAATCTGTGACAGACTCTTAACATTTTATAATCAATTTCAGTACATTTTTTTCCTTTCAACTTCTTTTGTTTTTTTTTTTTTGTCACTCAGATAAGTAATTTGAATAATTTATCTGAGTTTATCTTTTCAAACTGCACTGTTTATTCTTAGTCGTAGTTATTCACATATCTATAAATCAAATCTGAAGATTTGCTTTTTATAAAATAAACAGAGAAGATGACATATATTGGGAGGAACATGGACTTTGACTTAGAAAAGAATTCATAAGGTTAAGAAGTTCAGAAATCAATAGTCGGACTGATGTATGGAATACCAAGGTGGGCTACTATTTATCACTTATAGATACCATTTGATTTCAGAATAATTTTTACATTTTTCAAAATTGTTTACATTAATTTATCCTATCTAATAATGAGGCAAGGCTTTTAAAATTAAAAAAAAATTGCTATCTGTCAGTAGACTGCATATTTATTTTTATTTTTAGGAATTATACATAATTATATTTGCTTTAGCACTTTAACTAATTAACATCTTGAATAATAATAGTAACTATGAAGAGATCTCAAAGTTACACTAGTTTATTCATAGCTGGATTTGTCCATTTACGTCCCTCTGGGCACCCAGAAATTAAAACACTGCCAAATAGGCTGATATGAACCGTTTACATATTTCTTTTCATAATGCTTTGTAGCCAAGAAACTGACCGTGGAATTTTAAAGCATCTTGACCCTTTTAAAAAAGATCATTGGCAATTAACCAAGTTTCTCCCCTAAGTTAGAATCCCACCGGGAAATTAAACAGGTCCAAAATCTTAATGGACCTGCGAGTCGAGTCAGTTGTCATGTGTCATATGAAAGTCATGTTAAAAAATGATCAAAGTCCCTACATACTTGGGAGATATATATCCTAGCATGTTTGCTTTCCTATAAGAATTTTACAAATTAGACCCAAAGTGCAGCATATGGGTTAGTCATAGGCAAATTATTATTGAATAAGAAATGTGTTTTATGTCTAAGAGAAATTGGGATAAGGCAGGATGGGTGGGGTTGGAACTAGTTTTTCAATTCACTAAAGTTATCTCTAAAAATAGAATTTCATTCTCTCAAAAAGTTTATTTCCAGAGATCAAAAATATGCTTGTGAAGACTGTAACTTTACATCAGCATCACTTTCCAAGTACTAACACTACAGTTTAAATATTTTTAACATATATAGCACAGTTTAAAATAATCACATTTCATTCTGAAATAAATGGAATAGGTAATGTTTTCAGTGACATGGTAGTACATAAAAAAATAGAGAATATGCCTATTTCAAATTTTTCTCTATCTACTTCATATTGTAACTGTAACTATGTACAAGTCTCTATTGATTCTTTGTCTTTTGAATTAGATTGCTACTGACAGAGGCAACTTCAATTATTTGATCCCATGAAATAGTGAGTTCAAATATCAATCCTATGAACATCCTAGCGATGTCTTATTTTTAACAACCGGTTTTAAGTGGTGCTTCAGCGAATGGTGCTCAAGAAATTCATGGTTAAAAACGGACCCTTATGTGGAGATTGGTGGGGAGGGAAGGGTGGGCAGAAAGAGAAGGATGTAAAACTGAATTTTAAAAGGATTGCATTTTTCTGAAATTTGTTATTAAAGTTTACCTACCAATACAACTGAAAGAGAAATACGAAATTTCATGTGTATGTAATGAAAATACATAACAACTTTTGAGCGTTGTTTTTGCTGTTGGTCTAGATGTTCTTGAGATTCCCATTTATCAGTAATATTGAGGAAAAATGTTGACAGTGATCTGATGCCATCAGGGCAAACTGATTTTCGATGGTGCTGCAAGTCAAGTTCCATGGTGCCACCATACTTGAGTCAAAGTTTTATTTCTCACAACAACCTTTCTACACCAAAGTTCCTTACCTCATGCAAATAAGATTATATTTTTCTTTTGATTTATGTGACCTTTAAATGATAATCAAGTCGACTTAAACATAGAGATATGTCTACTTTTAAAAGTAGAGATTCATTTCACTTCAGTGACTGATACTGTTTATATTCAAAGTCATTTATAATGAAGTGTCTTAAATCACAGGTTACACATATGGTCATCCAATAATATTCAGCAGTCATAATGTACTCATTTTTGGTTTTCAGAAATTATACTGTAACTTTTTTAAAAAACAAATTAGAGGTACTCCTGAATGTTTTTTTTTGTTTCGTTTTCATGTAATGCAGTAAGAAATAAAAGCTTTAAAGATGACATTATTTTTATGTGGTTTACATAAAAATGTAATTGAAAATTTAAGCACTAAATTACAGAAGTGTATACTATTTCTTATAATTGAGCAAGAGTCTCTTTTCTTTTTAGCGGGGGCTACTACCCTTCTTTGCAGTATACCAGGAAATACTCTAAAATGTGAAAGAATCTTCTTTGTACTTGATTAAAGTATAGCAGATAGGGTAATGTATTACATTTCTAAATACTCATTGGACATATATAAATACCTTTCATCTAGGCTCTTCTTGCAAAATAGAAACTGTTTTTTATAAGAATAGAATTTGGATTTGCTGTAGCATAGTATAGCTTTTCCAGAGGGCTGTAATAAATGTTTATGAAATAATGCTAAGCTCTCCTAATTCACTTACTGACAATGTATAATTTCTTGGAATTTATGATATAACTTTATTCCATTTGACCTGTGTATAAATTTGTAATTAAAGTCATCATCATCATCATCATCATCATCAGACCTCAGTAGCACTAGAGAAAATACTTGACTAGAAACAACAACTCTCATGTACCCTTAAGTTTTAAAGTCACGACAGGTCAGTTTAGAGTTAGGAACTGAAGCTAGTTTGAGACTAAAGACAACTAAAACTGTTTTCTTTCTTTTTAAACATGCATAGAATGTCTTTATCAAGTATTACAGATATTTCTATTGTTGGACAAGAGCCCCCTTGATATGTTTAAATATGTTTATAATTATGCATTAATTAACGCTTATACATTGGTACAAGCATTCTAATGTTAAAATCGGATGTGGTATAAAAGGAGGCTTACAGGCCTCATGATTATATTATTTCATGGCCTGAAGCTTCATTTTAGCATTATACAGAATACTACTGTTCGAAGGTTGATTTTCTTGTTGTTTTACTTTTACTTAAAATTTAAACAACTTCAGAGAAAGCTGTTTTTAACCCTTTGTTCAAAGTGAAAAGCTATAACGTCAGCAGCAGCCTGTTATAATCTTAGGACACAGAAATTTGGAATAATAGGCAAAAAAAAATAAGGCATTTTTAATGGTTTTTCTCTTTCCTTCCATCCTTTCATCTTTTTTCTTTGCCTCTTTCCTTCCTTTTTAGTTTTGTACATTTAAGTTTCTGTGACAAGTTACCCTATGAAGTAGGATGGGTTAAATATAATAAATAGGTGGATTTCATTTTGTAAACTTGTCATTTCTTTAAATGTGTACCTTAAGGGATCTGAACTCTATTTGAGACAGAGCAATAAAATTATGTTTATATTGCAAGTTCAAGTTGACTTGCTTCAGCTCTCTAGAAGGGTGTGACATGAAAAGATTGTGGTTGGGCCACATGGCTCATGCTGGACTGTGTTTTTGTGAATGGAGGCAGAACTCCAGTTCTGCCTGCTTGTCTGGAGGAATTGCTGAGGAGATCAGCTGTCTCATTCACGGGCAGAAAGAATGACTCATACATCTTCCGCCTTGTTTGGCTCCAGGTCATTGTTACAGTGGATAGAACTGGTTTTAATTAAATATTAACCCCTTTTATACTTGACATTTGTTTCATTGGTAATTTTTCCACTTTTTCCCCCCCTCGCTTTAAGAGAAAACGCAACAGGCGCTTGTGTGTTTTAAAAAAAAAAAGTATGTTTTTCCTTGCCTGTAGTCAACCTATTTAAATGCTCAACTTTTCTTAAGTAATGATTATTATTTTACTTAAAGGCCAACTATTTAAACATTGCCCACCCCTCTTCTCAGGGAGTGTTAAGAAAGTATATTAAGATTAAAACATGAGAGTTAGTGATTCTGTGACATCTGGGTCACGATTAACTATTCAGTTTCTTTATCATGATATGTGTTGCTATGTAGTAAAAAGAAAGACAGAGACCAACTTTGGATAATAATCTCGGTAAAGCAAATAGCTGAGAGTGCAGATACTCTCCTTTTAAAGCTGAAGTCCTGAGACGTGATGGCAACTTGTCTATTAATGTGCAATGATCTGATAGAGCTGCCCCAGCTATTACCGATAAAATCTACATGCTTCATCTTCTTGAAAGCCTTTTATTGGCCTTTTGGTATATACTCCCCCTTCTCCTTTCTTCCTCTTCGTCTTCCTCTTTAATTACCTAGTGTGGGGAAGCATTTTCATTCTTCAAAGGTACATTATTCCAAGCATAGTTTATAATAGATAGTGTAGGGAAAAAAATTTTTTTTTACGTTGGCCTTTATTGTTAATTTTCCTTTTTGGAGTTGGTATGACTTGTTCCAAATTTTTAGGCAGCTATAGTTTTCTGCTTCACCAAATTCCTGTGAATTGAGGGGAAAGACGGAAATGTATGATATGAGTGTGGCAATACTTGGTCATTTTTTCCTTGTCCAGATCCAAGTTGTGTTTTTTGTTAGCTGCTTTCCTTAACTTTAAATTAGAGGTGGACTTAAGCCTTTGTCTATTTAGGCAGCGTGCTGCTTCATTTGGCCTATTCAGTTTCTGAAGATTAGCTTCTGTGAAAAATGTGAGTCATATGTTTTTTGTTAAAATTTTGTAATATGTTCAAGCATAAGTGTGAAGTATTTATTCAGTATGTTAAAGAGTTAGAACAGAAATAGCAATTTTCATTCTTTTTACAAATTGCTCGTATGCAGCTATTTTCTATTTGTGAGGTAGAACTTTCTAGTTTCTTCTGCTCCTAAAGTTTTTCTTTGCATACATATCTCAACACAGACCACACAGCCATCAGAGAATTGTATGCCTTTCTTGAAGTGATACAAGTCGTGGAGTCGCAACTCTGTCTTATAGTAAGGAAAAAGAAAAGGTCTGGCCTTTAAGACATTCATACTAGCATATTTAGTTACAGATACACTTTTGTTACTCAGCAGCTATTTTTAACTATTCCTGTAAAGAGATATTACATTTTTATTAGGTTCTTGTAAATGTTGGCTTTTTAGAAGTATAATAATTGCTATGGATGATAATTTTTGCATCTCAATAGTTCTATTTAGCTGTTAATTTAGAAGGAAAGCCAAAACATGTGGATATAATGGAAAAAATATGTAGGATTTGATTCTGTCTACCTGCTGTTATTTATTAAATAGATATTAAAAACATTTTTGTAATTTTGGGTGTGGAGACCTATTTTAAAGGGTACTCCTCCAGTTATAATTTATGAGTCTGTGAGAAAACTCAAGCTTACTGCAGTGCAAGAACAATGTTTATACCTAAGAGAATGCTAACATACAAATTTTACCTATTATATTTCTCCCTGTGCAATAGAATTCATTAGAACTAAAGACATTAAACGTGCACTGTAATGATTGAAGTAGTTTTTTGTGTGTGTGTATATCTGAAATGGAAAAAAATGGGTATCTGGCATTGTCTAACACTTTATTGAGACTATTTTATTTAATCCTCACAAAAAATCTATTATAACTATAAAACTGATGAATAAATAGAGTTCAAAGAAAAATAATGTTACACAGTTTACATAGCTAGCAAGTAATAGAGTTATGATTTGAAGTTTGTATGACTTTAGTTAGCTGTCAGATATTAGTAGAATACAAAGAGAAAACACTTCTTCAAATAGAAGCTGAAGAAATCGGCATCAGTTATAATTTGGAAAAAGTTCTTAATTTGTTTGGTTTCATTTTGTGGCAGAGAATAGGGTTTGTCTTTACTAAGCTTGAATATTGTACAGAAGGAAGTTAGAAAATTGATGTGACTGCATATATTTTGATAATAGTCAAGATTATCATGGGTTTTGTTCTTAGTAATGTAACATGGATTTTATTTAGCCAAATTATATTTTTTAAATATGTTAAATAAGCTGGTAAAAAGAACCTTTAATTATACGTATGTTATAATTTTTTATTAGAATTTTTAAATACAGAATTTTGTAATGTAGACTTTTTCTTAGCTCATTGAATTACTAACCAAAAACATTTTCAACAGAGACTGATTATTTTAATAAGTATTCCCCCATACAGAATAGACTCTTTTTAAAAAATTAATTGACACTTGTTTGAATATTGACTTGACTGGATAAAACTTTTTAGTATTTGATAATATTAGTAAAGTAATACCAACTAATCATATCAGAGCTAAAATTAATTAGGAAAGTAACCTAACTTCTATTTTATGTAGTTTGTATGTGTGTGAGTGTGCACATTTGTATGCATGGGAAAACTTGTTTTTGTAACATTCTGTCATGTTTGGAATAGGTTATTTTGATGTCTAAATCAACCATGGTGAAAATATTGTAGAAGTGAAAAAGTTTACTTGTGTTTTGATTGCTGCCGAATGCATAGTCTTTGCTATTTAGTAATTTTTTCCCTTGCTAAAAATAGGGAAGTTGTTTGATATTAGAACTGATGAAATGGTGATTTCCTTTTGTTAATGCTAAATAGTCACCAGGAAAATATTTTGCGTGAAAGAATGGAGTTTATTTGTATTTTTCTGATCATGGTCAATGAATTTTTTCACATTTTATGCTGTATGGCCAAAATCAATGACAATAATTTCAGAAACTTTGTTGCTTATTTTGGCTATTTTTAGGGCAGACATTTTTAATTATGGCAGTCTAATCTGCAGTAGATGGAACATACCAAAATCAGACATTTCTATAAAGCAGAGGGCTGTGTGTGATAACTGCACATTACTTGAAAGAATTAACGTGGTTACTTGGAACGGGCTGCTTAAGCACTTGTGGAGGGTGAACTGGAATATCTTTTACTCCAAAAATATACCTTTTACTTGCAAAAAGAAACACTGCAGCTAATAGAAATTCTATAGCTTCTTTTATTTGGCATGTGTCTCTTCTATGTGGCAGGGGAACTTCAGAGGGACTGCCATTATACTTCTGACATACATGTTTTCTAGTTGACATCAATGATCGCTTCTATGCCCCCTCCCAAGTACTGCTGTCAATGCCATTTTAAATAGGAGCTCTCTGGCAGATAATAATAGGTTTGATCTCAGCCTAAAAAGATCTGACATAAAAGATCTTACTTTGATATTCCTTATGTCTTGGCAGTTTTCCTTTTAAATTTTAACTTTTTTTTTTCCCTTCAGCTCAGGTACCTGACAATGATGAGCAGTTTGTGCCAGACTATCAGGCTGAAAGTTGTAAGTAAAGTTTGACCTCATCTCTTAAGTTTTCCTCTTTCTTTATTTCTTCTTTCATTCTTTCTCTTTTGTCTGTTTCCACTTGCAATACCTGTTCTTGCATTATGCCAATGCCTTTTTAGCTTACAGTCACGAGGTGACTTTATTTGTCTTGTTGTGACATCAGCAGAATCTCTGTGTGACCTAAGCAGAGCTCCGAATAGGAGCTCAGGAGCTTAGGAAAACTGAGTTGATTAAAAGACAGTCCCCTTCCCTGGATTTGGTCAACACCCTTGGAGAAGAAGCAGGGGGAGATCAGAGAATGTGCTAGTGATGACTTCCAGTTTTCCCGTGTGTTCACAGGGAAACGTCTGGATGATGATGGGAGACAGTCAGTAGTCAGAATCTGTATGAGATGATTGTTGTGTAATTCATAAAAATCCTAGGCCAAACATTCATTGGCCTATTGTTTGTTTGTTTGTTTATACATTTATTTATTGCCTCATGAACATTTACCCGCTTTGATTTAATTTTTAGCCTCATTTTTTTTGTACCTGGTTGCCATAACAGAAATGGAAGCCACTTTTGGCTGTTCCTAGGGCCCCCCCAGTGTTTCTTCCCTTGAGTCTTGCTGCAGGGCCTGGCTGTCAGAGACTGGGCGAGGGTGATCTTGGTGCTTTCCCTCCTGTAATTGCAGAGTGAGCATTTGGCCTGTGCAGACATGGTTGCCTCGTGGTTTACTTCTGGTATTTATGCTTTGCCTTTCTGGGAGCTAATTGCAGCTATTGATCTGAGGTGCAAATAGTAAAGAAAAGGGTATAAATGCTGTCTGGATTCTGAAACTGACCTAACACACGGTCACTCTGTTAGCACCATTTAAAGCTCTAACTTGTTTCATTTGACATTTTCACAGCAGGTGGTATCAACAGCAGCAAAGCAGGCTTAATACCTTACAACTTTTCAACCCCATATTTGCACACCTGATATTAGATCTAATATCATAGATCTAATACAAGTACCTATGTTACTTCAAGGGACAGGTGTTTGTTAAGTGTTGCTTCTAAGCTTCTGTGTTTGGCGTCTTCAATTTCCTGGGTGTCCAGAGTTGTAAGAGTTTCTTCCAGATTCTCTCCCATGTTAAATATTTTAGTTTCGCTTCACTAAAAAACTTTTTTTCCTATTGTGGTAAAATATACATAACAGAAAATTTGTCATTTTAACTACTTTTAAGTGTGCACTTCAGTGGCACTCACACTGTTATACAAATATCAATACTGCCCATCTTGAGAACTTTCTCATTCCATACTGAAACTCTGCCCTTACTAAAAAAGACCTCCTCGCTCTCCCCCTGCCCCCAGCCCTGGGAACTGCTGTCTGTCAGCTTGGTTTTTGATACAAGAAGAGAATAGTGTTGCTTGATTTCCGAATATAATTATTAAATATTCAATTTCAAGAAACCTATACAGCAATGATTTAGGTCTTATTTAGAGGCTCTTAGAAACTCCCAGAAGGATGATAGCTAAGGATGACGGCTAGGCAAGGCCTCCCCTTCATTAAAGTGTGGGAAGAGAATGGTCACATTTCCAACATTTCCTTTCCTGTAGGGTTCTGATTTCTTTCTGAAAAGCTAAACCTGTCATCTGTGTGGGAGAAATCATCCCATTGAGTCATTTTACATCTGAAGAAATTGGTAATGATTCCAACACTTTACCAACTGCCAGGGTAGAATTACTACCTTAAGGTAATTTATTTTTTAATGCTTTTCTTAATTGACCTCTTTTTAGTTATTTATTTTTAATTTTTTATTATTGATTTTTTTTAGATTTTATTTATTTATTTTTAGAGAAGGAAGGGAAGGAGAAAGAGAGAGAGAGAGAGAAACATCAATGTGTGGTTGCTGGGGGCCGTGGTCTGCAACCCTGGCATGTACCCTGACTGGGAATCGAACCTGTGACACTTTGGTTCACAGCCTGCGCTCAATCCACTGAGCTACTCCAGCCAGGGCTATTATTGACTTTAGAGAGAGGGAGAGGGGGAACCATTGATGTGTTGTTCCACCTGTTTATGCATTGATTGGTTGGTTGATCCCCTGTGTGTATTCTGATCAGGGATCTAACCTACAACTTTGGTGCATCGGGATGACACTTCAACCTACTGAGCTATCTGCCCGGGCTGATTAACCTCTGTTTAATTTTTTCTTATGTTTCACTATTTTGTCTCTCTGAACTCTTTTCTCTCGGTCACAGTAGTGTGATTTTTTTCCTTTCTCTTTTTGCTCCTTTGATTCCACCCTTTCACTCCACTCGTCTTCTTTACCTTCTCTTTTCTAGGGTTCTGTCCCCAAAACTTTCTATTTTACATGTGTTATGTCTGCATAATTCCATAGAACTTTCTACGGTGATGGAAAAATATGTATCCTTACCATTTGATACAGTAGCCATTGATCACATTGGTCATTGAACGCATGAAATGTGGCTAATGGGAATGAAGAAATAAATTTTTTAATTTGTTTAATCAGCCCTGGCTGGTGTGGCTCAGTGGATTGAGCCTGCTAACCAAAAGGTCACTGGTTCAATTCCCAGTCAGGGCACATGCCTGGGTTGCTGGCCATGTCCCTAGTGGGCAGTACTCGAGAGGCAACCACCCATTGATAATTTCTCTCCCTCTCTTCTTGCCTTCCCCTCTCTCTAAAAATAAATAAGTAAAACATTTAACAAATCATATAGTTATTGTGGCTTTATATGGACACATGTGGCAACTGGCTACTGCAGTGGCCAGTGCAGCTCTGTGTAACTGTCTCCTACTCTGTGATCTCTAGCCAGTTCTCCACTCTGCCCTGTGCACTGGATGTCATCTCTGATCTACCACTGAGGTCTCGTGCAATTACGGAAATGCAGCACCTCAGCCCTCAGCTGAATTCAGCATGAAACAGCATTTGCACAGCAACCCCAGTCTTCAGGGTGCTGTTCCCCAGACAGTTCACTCAACAAGGCCAATCTTGAAATCATTATTTTTCCTGACCAACATTGCTCTTACTTCTGTTGGCTTTCTGAGTTGATGGTGTCACCATCCAAGCTGAAAACCTTCAGTTTATCCTCGATCCTTCCAGTTATCTACCCTTACCCTTAAATTGCTTACCAAGTCGTCTATGTTTCAACATTATCTTTATTTCATGGCTCACTCATCTCTGCTCACTGCCTGAGCTTGCACCCACATTCTCCCTTGATGGAACTTGTGAATCAGTCTTTCAGTAGGCGCCCCTGCCTTCAATTTTCCCTCTTTCCAGTCCTCTCTCTGTGGAGGCATTAACACACACTGTCTGACCTTGTTAATTTTCTCCTGAAACTTCGTTCAGGACAAAGTCCTAATTCTTGAGCTCTACAGAACATTGTCCTATAACCTAAGCTGGGACTACAGTTTCATTTTAACTCCTGCCATCCCCACACCCTGTCTCCTCATTCTGTGAGTACGAGTCCTTCGAACCTTTCAGTTCTCCAAACAGATCCAACTCTTTCATGTCTCTTTGCCTCTGCACATGTTCATTTTGCTTTAACAGATTTTACTTTTGTAGTCTGGTGAACCTCCTTTATCTCCTTCAAATCTTTCTTGACCTCTTACCATCCTGCAGAGTTAGACCCTATGACATCTTGTCTCTTGTGTTTATTATAGTATACTATTTTAGATATAGGTCTTTCTTTGACAAGACTGTGAACTTCTTGAGGATTAGGAACATGTCATATTCAGTATGTCTTGCATGTTCTAGAAGCACAGTGAGTAAAATTGCATCCTAATCACAATCAGCTTCTTAGTGCTTATTTCCTCCCAGGTATTTTCCAAGTCCTAATTCCCTTCTTAAGGTAGAAACATATGAACATGCCTTAAAGCGATATAGAGTCTCATTCTGGAAAAATATGCTGAAACCATGAATGTTTAACCAAACATTTTCGGAATGCTGAGATTTTATTTTATTTCAATTAGTGAATATTTACAGTTTAACAAATACAGCTCTGGGACTTGTGACTAAAATATCTAAATATTAAGGAAACTTATAAACAAAGGTAAAAAGAAATCTAAAATAGTATAATAAAAAGAAAGCGGAGGGGTGCTTTATTTCAAGTTTTCACTGACATAAAGAACTGTTGTCCAGATGATGGTGACCAGCTATCACTCTGGATGGGAAAAAGGGAAATGGTTCAAAAAGAGGAATGGGACATATGGACAAGATTGTAAGGAGGGTTTCTGGATGGAGAAGCTTATCAAATATTGGGACCGAAAGCTTATATTGTCTCGTAAATGCTCTATACAAATGTTTGATTCTCGTCTGTCCTGGAATGCTTAGTGGGGCAGAGGGATCCTACCTCTAGAAATAGAAACTCCATCCCCCTGTGCAGCCCGTCTATAAATTGTATGGGACTTTCTTTTCAAATGTGAACAATTAGATTTTCTTACATATTTCAATCAAATAAAGGGCTTCTGTTTTTGGTTTTATGGCTGTAGCCCTTTGGTAAATGTAGGTTTAGGAGGATGAACTGCAAAATTCTGCTCAAGGCTGGATCATAGAACATACATTTGAGTGTAACACAGATAAATATATGTAGAAGAGTAGAGAATTGAGCATTCAGAAATTATAAAATTTCAGTTGGGTACTCTCTAAAAACATCCCCAAGCATTTTTGTTTTTTAATTAAAAAATATATCAGTTAGAAATCTAGAATCTAAGGATACACACTATAGCTTGCTAACCGTTGGGAGCTGCTGACTTTCACAGCACATATAGACACCTAAAAACAAATGAAAACAAGCAAGCTCACTGTAGTATATGAATGAAGGCTAAGAGAAACAATTACGTGGTTCCAGCAAATTTTTTCTTATAGACAAATCTTTGCAGATATCAGACACTGCTGGAAAAAAAGAATTGCTTCAAAATACGCTTTATTCCATAGGAGTTAGAATGCTCTCTCTTCAGAAAATAAAGTTTTAAAAGTGTTTGAGACATAGGTGAGTCTTATTTTTTCTGAAGTA